ACCGATACCATGCTGATGATATTGCACATCCCTAGTAATAAATAAAGCCCTCTAAGTATATTATTTTGTGCCCACCTCCATCAAAATTTTAAATAGATGATATGTTGAGGCCTGGAAGGTATGCAAGAACTTTGGTGTTCTCTGTTGTTGTCTTTCAAACGGTTGTGTGTTTTTTTGTAGCTGTTTATATGAATTGTATGATAGTTTTTTGTTATTTTAATTACTTTATTTTACCAGGAACTAATCCATTGAGGTCAACAATTTATTTTACAAGTATGTCCTGGATGTGTATTTATTGTCTGTTTGGGCAACTGCTACTATACAATATACACCCCTGAGTCCATGGCAAATTTACCCAAGGGGACAATAAAGTATATTCTATTCTATTCTATTAATCTCTTCCGTGATTATTTTAAATTTCTGTTGGGGAGTGATGGTTGGGAGACATCTCTGAGTGAGGGAATTGGTGCACTAACTCTAGCTTTTTAGCTAGCGCGTCTGTATTGTGCGCCTCTAGCTTAACGCTATGTCAATGTCGGCAGTTGTCAACTGGGTGTGGGGGGCGTAGGTTCGATAGGCAGGGCGCTCGGTTCTGTTGACAGGGCAGGGCACCCTGCTTGTAAAATGGTAGGGGAAACACTGCCCATGGTATGCCCTGGAATCAGCTCATGCCGATGTTGAACATTATAAAAAATTGGATTTTTTTTCCTCATAGTGCACCTAACAGAACAAGGTAACTAAAGGTTCATGTAAGCCCAGCAAGCCTTCGTAAGGCCGTATAAGCACTGAAGTAACTTCCATAAAGTAAAGACTTTGTCCAGTTTTCTCCTACTGGCAGGAGGCCCACCTCCGCAGCCCTAAGAAAATAAGCACAGCTCAGGTGTGTGAGGCCAGCATGATGGATCATCCTGCTGTGAAACTGGCCCTCTGCACAGGCCTGCGAAGACAGCTGGGAGATAAGGAGAGCCCTATATGAGAGCACATCTCCTCTTCCCATCGATCCTCACTGCCACCATGGCAGGAGGTCTTCACATGCCAAACCACAGATAGACATATGGAGACAGGGTAGGGCAATAGAGAGAACAGCTCTGCAGCCACCTTTGAGCAATAGAGACAATGAAAGGTAAATCCTCTCTTAGCTTCGTGCGGATAAAAACAAACGTCGTAGAGCTGTGTTTTAGAAAGGAGGGGAAAAAAAACTCATTGTAGATAGCCGTAATCGCTCCCCGACTCATTATCCTTCTTTACCGTGGCTAAAAAAAATACTTCACAGGAAAGCGCAGAAGAAATTAAAAAATAACAAACTTGCAACTCGAATCATTGTGGTCATTATTCACAGTCGAAATGTGAGTCTTAGCATTTTAGAGGTAATTGACCTTGTATCTGGTGCGAGCGACTTGGCAGGAACGGCATCACTAGAAGTCAATTAGGAATGAAAAGAGGCTTTGCTCTTAAAAAAAAAAAAAAAAAAAAAAGCTCAAGCTACAATTAGAATTCCTTTGGAGTTAACAAGCACAGCTGCAGGTCATAATCAAGTGAAACGTTTTCTCGCAAAATATATTAATTGACGCAAAAGATCTCACGTTCCAATGTTGACAGCCACAAATTTGAGTGTATTTTTGCTGCTGCTGTTTCAAAACGCAGCAATCAGCAATAGCCTAACACCTACTATTAGTTGAAGAAGAAGCTGGATCAATCAACTCGACTGAAGATCTAAAGAACTGTAAAAAGGTGATTTGCCACAATGTAACAATAATGAGAATACAATAGAAAAGAAAATGGCTTCATTTGTTTCTCTCCTTGTGCCAAATCAATATTGAGGGTTGGCTGCTGCAGAGGCGACACCAATCAGGAGGACGGTATACCCCGCTTTACAGAGCCCGGCTCAGTAATAGAGATGTATGTTTGTGACCTCTGCTCTCAATCACAGAAATTCCTAAAATGGTTTGTGTGTCGAGAGTATTTTTGTGGCTGAAAATTGGGATCCCACACAACAAGCTTGCAGCATTAACCACACGTATCAGACAAGATAAGGGCCACTCCGAGGTGCATGATTAGACGTGAACAGCTTTGTGCACACTCTAATGGACGGCACGTGAACAGAGCACTAAACTGAGCTGAGATTTCAACAATATTTTTCATATCTAATAACTCATATTTGCTAGGTGGAAAATATTTATAGATAACTAAATAAAGCTTTAGTGCTAGAATTCTTTATGTTTAACCAGTTTCTAAAACTTCTCGACTGAAGAATGTTGTCATGTGGAGGACAAACGAATAAGTTAACGAATAGTGACTGTAGTTTATCTGAACTATTCTAACGTATTTATTTTATAGTTAAATCATTCATTGCACATAGGCCTGTCACGATAATAAATTTTGCTGGGTGATTAATTGTCTCAGAAATTATTGCGATAAATGATAATATTGTTTGGAATTTAACAATAATTAATTGTCAAATTGTAGAAGAAATGTTGATTTGTTTGGAGTGTAGTACATTTTTTTCACCACCTGATGGCAGTATAAGACTGTATGAACCAAAGGATGGATAGTTGAGCAGCGTGTCTCTTTAAGAAAAATGGGAGGGAGGCCCCTTGACGTGACGTGGGCTGTCTCTCCTTCCTTTTGTTCGGTTCTCAAAATGGTGGAGGCTCGGTGTGCTTTGAGCTTTTTAGCATAGCATTATCATACAAAGCTTTTAATAAAAAATCAGTAAACAAGTTCTCAGCTTCTTTTTGCAGAGACAAACAACTTTATACACGAAGGCACGGGTTTCACGAGTTTCACGAGCTTAGCTGCTTTTTACAATCCAAAAACGCAATTTTGGATGATTAAACAGATTTTAAACAGAAAACAGAAAAAGAGGGGTCAGTGAAGAGCACCAGAGTTGAGCCGTGTCTTCAGTAGAAAGAGAGACACGAAGAAACGATAAAGCTGGTAAATGAAAATGAGGTTGATAATTTTCATTCATCATGCGATTAATTCATTTATTGTTTATTGCAACAGGTCTAATTGCACACAATTGCAGAAAAAGTAAACAATCGGTGCAGCAATGTCTCCCGTCACTGAGGGATTTAAATAAACGTTTGTAGTTGGTGAGATGATGGTTTTTGTTTCTGGACTGGAATAGAACTGGGAATGCAAGTCAAAAAGTTTTTGGTGTAAGATATTCAAGTGGGTAGGAGTTACATTGTGCATAAAATGAGAAGTAGCCTTTTTTGTTCTCGCTTCTCTAAAGCAGCACAGAATGGCAGACCCTTGTGCACCACTAGGCCCATGGCAATGGCAAAGTAAGAGGGTGGCCAATGGTGGTTGATTAAACTTTGGCCACCCCAATCATTTGAGAAAACTATACTTTGGGGCAATATAAAAGCTAGACCAGTGTTTCCCCTACCATTATACAAGCAGAACGCCCTGTCCTGCCCTGTCAACAGAAACGATCGTCCTGTCTACCAAACGCCCCCGCAGTCAACAACTAGCGCTAAGCTAGCGGTGTGCAATACAGATGTGCTAGCTAAAACAGCGGTAATGTTCTGTTTACCTTGCACTGAGCCATCTCCACCCCCACTGGTCGACAAAAGTCACGGAAGGTATGAGCGCCCAGCCAAGGCAAGTAAACTAGGGGAAACACTGAAAGCAAAGTTTCCTCAAATGATAAGGGTGTTCAGTTGTGTGGCAGTGGCCATCTTGGATTTTGATGTGGCAACCCAATTTGAATAGTGACCTTTTGTATGTCTAAATGTAGCCACATACCCAAATGGAAGTCTGTACCTCACTTATTTTTAAAGTTATGCTCACAGGACCGACACACGGAGGGTATTTCCAATTCATCTTTTTGCACTGCAAAGGGGGGAATTGAGCTCCTGTGATTATGTTCAGTGGATCTGAAAGTAAAATATGGAACATGGTCTTTTTGTTTCTTTCAAAAGGGACTCATTGCAACATCATGAAGACCAAAAAGAAAAATTCCATAAAGAACATAAATGTGATGACTGTGTATGTTTACCTACAGAAAACAACAAAGGGACTGAAATTAGGTCAATCATTAAACTTACTTACTGTATTTCTTTACCTACACGAACTATGACCAATCTAATATAGCTCAATCAGCTGACTCAAGTTTTCATGTGTTTCGTTCGTTTATTTTTATTGTGTGTAGACTTGCATTTCAGAATTACATTTATTATTTCTAGAAAACTAATGGAGTTCCAGTGAACTCTTTCAAACAAAAGCTGATCTATCCATTAACCTTAAATATATACACACAAAGAAGAGACTTGTATTTTTGTTTTTTTTATGAAAAAAAGATCTATAAATATTCAGTCACATAGATGTGACAGATGATATGAACATGTTAGAAAAATGTATGTATTTTTTTTAGTAATGTTCCAACCGCGCCGTGCACATGAAGCTCGTCATGGAGGTACAGTATTTAAAGTGACAGCAAACACAGATGAATAAACAGATGGGATTGAAGCAGAGGCCACATATCACCATTATACCGTTTCCACGTCTGATTCTAAAGTCCCTGTGGGGATATAAATTATCATTCCACATTCAACATAGAGCATTATAGCTAAAGCTGATCTTACTTTGGTAAATAAATATTATTTCAATCATGTCACTGGAGAAGTCAAATTTCCAAGAGGCGATATGGCAGGATTGGGCAGTAGCATGCTACTGGAGTACCCTCCCCCTTGTTCTCACAGCACAGTTGACTGCTTCATGTTTTCTCCACTCCTTTGAAGATAATGCTCTTCGGCAGGCCGATAAAGTAATGGCCACCTCTCAGTGTGACACAGTGCAAAGTTGCTGTGGAAAACGCTGTAATGTTGTGGTCGTACATTCAAGATGTGTGTGCAGCAAAGAGTCTTGAAAGAAAACCGATACAGGTCTTTGATGTTCTGTAGCTGTGCCAGATCTGATTTAAATAATCAGATTATAAAAGAAAACATGGCATTTCTTTAAAAAAAATGACATTGTTAAAACTAATCACTCACCTCCTCCTCCTCCCAGAAGACTGGTGTTTGCTGAAATGAGAAGAAAGAAAGAGGTGGGTCAATTTAAAAATGCATGTTTGAATGGATTATTAAAAGCCAAACAGCCCATTATAGTTTAGATTAATGTAAAGCTACATAAAATCACCCATCCAATGAGTCATTTATTTCATCCAATGGTAAATATTCAAAGATCATCTTCTCACAGCACTAGGAAGAAAATTACAATTGGATGAAAAGATAAAGTAGGACTAAATAGTGGCTGGAAATATGAGCAATAATGTTACACTCCCATTTAAACCTGTAATTACACAAAGCTGTAGCTGTGTCTGGCAAAACAAGTGTTAGTTATAGACGTTAGCTGCCTCCCAACACCACCAGTCATCCTAACATGATTATCAGCCAATATAACACGTCTCCAGCAGACAAAAGTATTTACTGTTATGGGTGTTTAATCCTGATTTACTGAAGTAACACATTAGCAGAAAAGGCTTCATTCATTTGAAAGACAAAATGAAGGGTTTTATATTTGGTTTGTAAAAAAAAAAATGTTTCAATAAACCATAAAATTAGATTTTGCAAGTGTATTGTAAGTTTATTGCCAGAGTTTAAATTGAGCCAGATCCTGCCGGAAATGGAAACTCTTATTTTGACAGGGTGCGTTCTGGTAACTGTTTGCCCAGATCCGGTAACTCTGTCTTAATAATAAAGTTATGAACAAATATGACTGCCTTGAAAAAAAAATCAAAATTATATCGGAGATGTAAACTGAAAATAATTACATAAACACTCATTTTAAACACAACAGCCATACCAGCGTACGAGCTGCCCCTTCAAGTGGCATTTCCACTTCTACACTTAAAAAAATCTCCACCCATAAAAGAGCGGTGGGGATGAGTGCTGAGCTACCCAGGCAGTCCTACGTGAGCAGGAACTCACAGGCAGACACCTGGAGGTTCACACGTGGAGTCGGACAACAACGAGCAGGGACAGTGAATTCAGCGGAGTCGGGCTCAGAACAAGTAGATGGACTGCACTTATATAATGCTTTTCTATCTTATGAAGACACTCCAAGCGCTTTACAACACAATCTGTGCACTCATTTACACATTCATACAGCACTCTGCGATATCTACACAGAGAATAATCAGAGCTTTATCACATTCATACACCGATGGGACACACATAGGAGGCAATGAGGGGTTCAGTGTCTTGCCATGGGACACTTGGGCATGTGAATGCAGGTGGAATCGAACCCCCAACTCTTGTATTGGAGGACAACTGCTCTAACCATTCAGCCGCCCAGTTAAAAAAAAAGGGGGGGGGGGTAGGCTGATTGACAGAAGTTGAGTGTTTACAAATGTAGGTAAACGTAGAGGTTTAACAACTCGTTAAAATGCACCAAAATGCAGGAAATCACATCTACTTTATTCAAAATTTTCTGGGGGAGGACCCCCCAGAGGCCCCTCCCCTGCCCACTATTTGCGTTACGGCATCGACTAGTTTACAAACTAAGCCCTGTTTATTGCCCTCCTATACAAGTTTGTGTTAATTTGTTTGTAAAATTAACACATTTCATGACCCTCAAGACAGAGTTTAGTAAAAGTACTCATTAGATGTACATATACTACTAGTTAACGCTTAAGAGTCTACTTCATTCAAGATTGCTGCTACGACTAGGCAACATAAGAAAATACAAAAATAGATAAATCAGTCAGTTTTCCAGTTAATGGGCTAATATCTGGTGTGGCAGTAGCTGAGCATGGTCCCCGTCACATACTCTTAGTACTACACATCGCTCAAAATCTTTTGTTTAAAACTTTACCAAGGAAACATGTTGAGTGGGACTCTCCAGCACCAAGCCTTAGAGCTCTACAAGTAAAGTAAAAAGTTTTTATCTGAAAGTGAAACAAACTGTGACGCGTCACCAGATTTAGGCAGAGTTTAATTCACAACAGTCGTGGGGTGACCTGTACAACCATTAACTGGTTCAGCTACAGGTAACTGTCAGAATACTACTGAACAAGATCATTAAAAATTAAATTAATTCAGTTTAAGGCCAGCTCTGCAGATGAAAAAAGAGCTTAAACAGGATTTAAAGTACATCTGTTAGTTTGTGTTCTAGCCAAACTAAAAAGCGGTGGTGTTTGAAGTGTGGTTCCTGCAGCAAGCACAGAAAGCATCGTGCACCACAGCATGCATTTAATGATCTTCAGTTGGAGCTGCAGCATCAGCTCCCATTAAAAGCCTATTATTTCTTAAAAACGTTTATAGCGCAGCTAGTGGATAACGAACATGAGTTATTAGCAAGAGCAATCCAATCACATTAATGATTCATGGCTTTTTATTTATTTATTCCCCGCCTGATCACATGAAGGAAGTGACTGCTGGAGTTCACTCAGCTTTCACGTGTTTCAGCGGAACCATTATGGCTTCACAATGTTCTCATCTGAGACCCACAAATATGAGTGGGCCCGACAAAGAAAAGTCTCCTGCAGCAGATTTGGATCCACCAAAGAGCCTTTGTTTTGCATCTGTGTGGTCTTTGTGCGCTCATACGTTATGAGCGCAACACACACACAAACAGCAACCTGAACAGGGATGTACTGACAAGCTACTGTCATGTTTACAATAGCACCTCTCCAGGTTTTTCTGTGATAAAAAAAGACACTTGTGTTCTCGGAGCCTTTGTTTGGCTCTGGAATCTTCAGCAAAGAGCACATAACTCAAATCTGTGCCTGAACAGCATGGAAAAACCGGCTTCCTAAATTTCCTGTTCGTGTCTTCAAGGCACGGATAAATGTGGTGGCAAAGGTGAGGCTCTAATAAAACAGAGAAATCTGTTGTTTTGTTTTTTTTAAAGATGCATTTAAACTAATTTCGAATTAAAGGTTTAGCACTCCTTAAGGAGTAGGTCTGTCACGATAACCAATAAATCAATTAATCGCACGATAAATGAAAATTATCAACCTCATTTTCATTTATCGGATTTATCGTTTCTTCGTGTCTCTCTCTTTCTACTGGACACTGGATGACAAAAGGCTCAACTCTATTGCTCTTCACTGACACCTCCCTTTCTCTTTTCTCTTTAAAATGTGTTTTAACTATCCAAAATTGTGTTTCTGGATCGTTAAAAGCAGCTAAGCTGAGAAGCTAAGCTAACAGGCTGACCTTGGGGAAAAAAAAAAAACTGTCTTGTCAAAGTGCCAAAGCATCTCCTCCCATTTTTCTTAAAGAGACACGATGCTCGCTCCCTCACTATCCATCCTTTGGCTCAAAGTCTTATACTGACATCCAGTGGTCAAAAAAAGGTACTACACTCAAAACAAATTAAACATTTCTTCTTAGGTTTGACAATAATTACTAATTATTGTAAAATTTCAAAGAATATTATAGTTTATCACAATAATTTCTGAGACAATCGCCCAGCAAAACGTGTTATTGTGACAGGCCTCTTAAGGAGTGCATATCGCCCGCTGCCTTTCATGTCAAGGTTTTAAGCTAAAATCATTTTATGCTAAGAAGGGACAGAGTTTTAGGCATTTTGGTTAAACCTTGGAAACGACTGTATACACAAAGTTTCTGTTTAATAATCCAGGTAGAAAATCCAAGAAAGTTAAGTCAGGTCCTCTGGACGGTTTCTATGTGTTGAAACATTACGTCTTTCATCCAAAGGACTTCATCATCCCAAGAAGCCACAACAAACTCAGTCCCACAGGCAGCACATTCACATAGTGAACCAAACAGTTTAATGGTGATACGATGGTTTCTGGGGTCCACCCTCTCCTGTTTTCAACACAAAGAAAAAGCTTCCAGAGGACTTGAATTAACTTTGTTGGATTTTTTTTACCTGGATTATTGAACCTGAACTTGGATGTTTTCAAGCACTTTGGCCATGGCTGCCTCAGAGGAGTCAACGGGGGAGAGGGCAGACCCCAGAAACTATCTTATCACCATGAAACTGGTTGGCCAACTATGTGAGTAGTAAGCCATTTATGGGGATGAGTTTGTTGTGGCTAGTCAGACTGATGAAGTCCTTTGGATGAAAGACGGAAAGTTTCAAAACAAAGACACCGTCCATCAGACCTGACTTAACTTTGTTGAACTGTATACAGGATTTAATGTAATATTGTGATATCTTGTAAGATGTGTCAGCGCTCAGAGAATGTGTTGTTGAGGATTCTCAGCTACTTCTACACCAAATTTTAGCTCAGTATCTGTAAAATTGACTGTTTTATCCATTCATGTGCTTAATAATGTCCATTAGCAGTGGTGGCCATCATACATTGATGCCTTGAAGTATTAAAGAGTTGTAGATGTATAGCCATATCATAGCCATTGTTACGTTTTCTAAGGTTAGTTGACTTTGACGGCCATGTTGAATGGGGTTGAGTACAAAAAGTAATCAGTTGTCGATGCAAAACCAATAATTACTTGAACAGATTTTTTTTACAATCCATCCACTGGTTCTTGAAATATTTTGCTAAACGTAAAGACAAACACACAAGGAGAGAAACAGCCAAAAAAAAAAAGTTACTGCCCTTTCACCTTTGGTGGGGAGCGACAAAAAAGTCACATATTTAAGTTGTTATTGCTAAAGAGATAAATCTGTAAATGACAAGCAGATGAAAACATCCAGATATAAATCAAAAGTCTGCAGGATTTGTTTGTCAATTGTCTTTTGGGCTACTAAAACATGCCAGAAGGAAAACAACCTAAAACATCTTTCAAGTAAATTGTTAATTTTAAAACAAATAATAATAACAACTCATAATTGTTTTGCATGACTCTAAAATAATAGTAAATGTGAATATTACATTTCGGCCAATAGAAATATGATTAGGGTAATTGAATAGCTTCAAAATCAGCTCAAAGCAAGCTAACAGTCTACTATTTTTCAGAGAAGTCTATCATCATTGTCTCGTCTCCTGGGGAGTCTTCCTATTCCTGAGCTATTAAAACACTAGGGTTTAATTACCTGACATTATGGAAATGCATGCCTGAGGGGGGGCACTTCATTTACTCCACACCTA